CCAAGCGGCTATTAGTGGGCTCAAATTCAGCCCCCGGGTAAGCGTGTTACCCGCGTTCGGGCCCCCCAAAATTTTTCCCGCGCACATTCGTAACTCGGGGTTCTGAGATGCTAGCAAGCTGAAATTTTAGGGGAATGTTCCCCGTCCAGGCAAATGCTAATGGGCTCAAACCCAGCCCCCGTGTAAGCGTGGTACCCGCGTATGGGCCCCCCAAAGTTTTCCCGCGCGAATTCATAACTCGGGGTTCTGAGATGCTAGAAAGCTGGATTTTAGGGGAATGTTCCCCGTCCAAGCAGGTGCTAATGAACTTAAATCCAGCCCCCGGGTAAGCATGGTTTAGGGGAATGTTCCCCGTCCAAGCAGATGCTAATGGGCTCAAACCCAGCCCCCGGGTAAGCGTGCAGGGGAATGTTCCCCGTCCAAGCAGGTGCTAATGGGCTCAAATCCAGACCCCGGGTAAGCGTGGTAGCCGCGTACGAGCCCCCCAAAATTTTTCCCGCGCAAATTCATAACTCGGGATTCAGAGATGCTAGCAAGCTGAAATTTTAGGGGAATGTTCCCCGTCCAGGCAAATGCTAATGGGCTCAAACCCAGCCCCCGTGGCTGAAATTTTAGGGGAATGTTCCCCGTCCAGGCAAATGCTAATGGGCTCAAACCCAGCCCCCGGGTGAGCGTGGTACCCGCTGCTAGAAAGCTCAAATTTTAGGGGAATGTTCCCCGCCCAGGCAGGTGCTAATGAGCTCAAATCCAGCCCCCGGGTAAGTGTGGTACCCGCGTACGGGCCCCCCAAAAATTTTAGGGGAACGTTCCCCGCCCAGATATGCTAATGGGCTCAAACCCAAAATTTTTCCCGCGCAAATCCATAACTCGGGGTTCTGAGGTGCAAGAAAGCTGAAATTTTAGGGGAATGTTCCCCGTCCAGGCAAATGCTAATGGGCTCAAACCCAGCCCTCGGGTAAGCGTGGTACCCGCGTATGGGCCCCCCAAATTTTTCCCGCGCAAATCATAACTCGGGGTTCTGAGGTGCTAGAAAGCTGAAATTTTAGGGGAATGTTCCCCGTCCAAGCAGATAATAACTCGGGGTTCTGAGATGCTAGAAAGCTGAAATTTTAGGGGAATGTTCCCCGTCCAAGCAGATTCTAACTCGGGGTTCTGAGATGCTAGAAAGCTGAAATTTTAGGGGAATGTTCCCCGTCCAAGCAGGTGTTAAAACTCGGGGTTCTGAGATGCTAGAAAGCTGGATTTTAGGGGAATGTTCCCCGTCCAAGCAGGTGCTAATGAACTTAAATCCAGCCCCCGGGTAAGCATGGTTTTAGGGGAATGTTCCCCGTCCAAGCAGGTGCTAATGGGCTCAAATCCAGACCCCGGGTAAGAGCCACCCAAAATTTTTGGGAATGTTCCCCGTCCAAGCAGGTGCTAATGGGCTCAAATCCAGACCCTTTAAGCGTGGTAAATTTTAGGGGAATGTTCCCCGCCCAGGCAGGTGCTAATGAGCTCAAATCCAGCCCCCGGGTAAGTGTGGTACCCGCGTACGGGCCCCCCAAAGGGGAATGTTCCCCGTCCAAGCAGATGCTAATGGGCTCAAATCCAGCCCCCGGGTAAGCA